TCAAAATAAAATGTTGAGAATAAACTCATTAAATTACAAGAAAAAAGTGTTTCATGAAAAACTTGTTAAACTTCGAGAAAAAGTCAAAATAAAATGTTGAGAATAAACTCATTAAATTACAAGAAAAAAAAAGTCTGTTTCATGAAAAACTTGTTAAATTTAAAGAAAAAAGTTGTTTTGAGAAAAACTCATTAAACCGAGAAAAAGTCAAAATAAAATGTTGAGAATAAACTAATTCGTGTCATGTTCATTTGAACGTTTTAATCCGCGTCTGCAGAGACGTTGGTCCTAAAGAGTTCGAGTCTGTTTTTATGAAGTAACTGGCTATTACTTTAAGATCCATCCATCCACGAAACGAATCAAAAATAGCAATAGATGATATTTACACTAAGTGAAAACAGTGATATATTCTATTTGCACTTAGTGACAACAGCAGCATTTTTAGCGATGTGCTATGAAAATAGCGATTCTATTTACGCTACGTAAAAGCAGCAGATCTTTGAATTAAGTCTAAATAGTAATTAGATGCTATTTATACTTATAGTGACAGATACTATTTGCACCTCAGTATTGTTGTACATTAACAGGATGCGATAATAATATAGTGTGTAAATAATTTTATTTATTAAAATTATTAAATAGAAGCTGCCTTATTGGTACAACAAAGCCCTCCCTATAGCCTACCTACCCCTAAACCTACCCAATTAATACGTCATTATTAAACGCTCATTAGGCCATTGATTTCCACTTTTCCGATGTGATATGTGATGAAAAAAGGAAGAGCGAGTTCAGCAAAAGGGGGATTCGAACACCAGGGTGTTTATTCTCAGCATTTTATTTAGACTTTTTTCTCGAAATTTAAAGATTTTTTTTTCTCGAAACACGAGTTTGTTCTCAAAGTTTTATTTCAGCTTTTTTACTCGAAATTTAACACGTTTTTTCATGAAACACGAGTTTCTCAAATTTTTATGATTTTATTCTCAACATTTTATTTCGACATTTTTCTTGAAATTTAACGAGTTTAATCTCGCATTATATTGACTAACAATGATGGTTTTATTTTTATTATTGTTTGGCCCTAATCCTCTTCTGTACAAAAACATTATTTAGAGAGATAATTTTTTTTGAGAGAGAGAGAAAAAAATTAAGAGATAAAAAAAAAAAAAATTTAAAGAAAAAAAATTGGAGAATTTTTTTTTTTTTTTTGGAGAAAGAAAAATGTTTTTTGAGGAGACAAAAAAAAGATAATATAGAAAAAAGTGAGAAAAGAAAAAAGGTTTTAGTCTTTAATCTCAGGAAGGATGTAAGACGTGTTTTGTATTTTTGTTCAGGTTGTGTTTCAGGACTTCTGCAGGTTTGTTTCAGAAATGAAATCATGTTTGTTTCTCTGAAAGCGTCAAGAAAGCGAGCTTCATCAGCAGAAACTGCTGTCGTTACACAGAAACTATGCGACTGGATTTACACAAACACACACAACTTCAAGAAGAGATTTCTATCACACTAGTTTCATGTGAACTCTAAAATTCAGAAGATTTTGACTTGTCTTTACAAAATGACGAATCAAAATGATTTTCTGTCACAGATGCTGCTGAAAGAGCTCAACATTTCATTTATATGCTGGACTGATATTATATTCATTATAATTAATGAAGATAAACAGTAATAATATTTAACAAACCATTGGACTAGATTCGCAATCGTGTGTTCGTCACTAGGCAACGTTACATTTCCGCTGTGTGTTTCCATGGCAACTACAATTTAAGACTTTGGATACAGCCGCGGCGTTCGTTCGTTCTGTCATTTATAAAATATATCTCCAAAACATCAATAAATAACTTCATATTAACACAATCAGCTGTGTGTTTCTGACCATACAGTATATGTGAGAGTAGATGCTGTTTACATTTATATAGAAATCCATTAATACAGAAAAACATTCCAAACATTCAGGAAAGCTGAACGTCAATGGTAGTGTTGCAGCAACGACTGGAAAGAAGAAGCCAAAGAGAAACCTCTGTGTGTGTGTGTGTGTCTGCTTTCTCTCTGAATCAGTGAAATCCCAAGTGTGTGACGAGAGTGATGAGCGGACGACTGTAAACACGGCTGTATGAGTGTGTATATGTGTGTGTGTGCGCGTGAGTGAGTGAGTGAGTGTGTGTGCATGAGTGAGTGAGTGAGTGAGTGCATGAGTGAGTGTGTGTGTGAGTAAGTGCGTGTGTATGTGTGCATGAGTGTGTATGTGTGCGTGTGAGTGTGTTTGTGTGCGTGTGAGTGTGTGTGTATGTGTGTGTGTGTGTGTGTGTCTGCTTTCTCTCTGAATCAGTGAAATCCCAAGTGTGTGACAAGAGTGATGAGCGGACGACTGTATGAGTGTGTATACATGTGTGTGTTTGTGTGAGTGTGTTTGAGAGTGTGTGTGCGTGCGTGTGTGTGAGTGCGTGCGTGCGTGTGAGTGTGTGTAAGTGCGTGTGTATGTGTGCGTGTGCGTGAGTGCGTGAGAGAGCGAGTGTGTGTGTGTGTGTGTGAACATTATTTAGAGAGATAATTTTTTTTGAGAGAGAGAGAAAAAAATTAAGAGATAAAAAAAAAAAAAATTTAAAGAAAAAAAATTGGAGAATTTTTTTTTTTTTTTTGGAGAAAGAAAAATGTTTTTTGAGGAGACAAAAAAAAGATAATATAGAAAAAAGTGAGAAAAGAAAAAAGGTTTTAGTCTTTAATCTCAGGAAGGATGTAAGACGTGTTTTGTATTTTTGTTCAGGTTGTGTTTCAGGACTTCTGCAGGTTTGTTTCAGAAATGAAATCATGTTTGTTTCTCTGAAAGCGTCAAGAAAGCGAGCTTCATCAGCAGAAACTGCTGTCGTTACACAGAAACTATGCGACTGGATTTACACAAACACACACAACTTCAAGAAGAGATTTCTATCACACTAGTTTCATGTGAACTCTAAAATTCAGAAGATTTTGACTTGTCTTTACAAAATGACGAATCAAAATGATTTTCTGTCACAGATGCTGCTGAAAGAGCTCAACATTTCATTTATATGCTGGACTGATATTATATTCATTATAATTAATGAAGATAAACAGTAATAATATTTAACAAACCATTGGACTAGATTCGCAATCGTGTGTTCGTCACTAGGCAACGTTACATTTCCGCTGTGTGTTTCCATGGCAACTACAATTTAAGACTTTGGATACAGCCGCGGCGTTCGTTCGTTCTGTCATTTATAAAATATATCTCCAAAACATCAATAAATAACTTCATATTAACACAATCAGCTGTGTGTTTCTGACCATACAGTATATGTGAGAGTAGATGCTGTTTACATTTATATAGAAATCCATTAATACAGAAAAACATTCCAAACATTCAGGAAAGCTGAACGTCAATGGTAGTGTTGCAGCAACGACTGGAAAGAAGAAGCCAAAGAGAAACCTCTGTGTGTGTGTGTGTGTCTGCTTTCTCTCTGAATCAGTGAAATCCCAAGTGTGTGACGAGAGTGATGAGCGGACGACTGTAAACACGGCTGTATGAGTGTGTATATGTGTGTGTGTGCGCGTGAGTGAGTGAGTGAGTGTGTGTGCATGAGTGAGTGAGTGAGTGAGTGCATGAGTGAGTGTGTGTGTGAGTAAGTGCGTGTGTATGTGTGCATGAGTGTGTATGTGTGCGTGTGAGTGTGTTTGTGTGCGTGTGAGTGTGTGTGTATGTGTGTGTGTGTGTGTGTGTCTGCTTTCTCTCTGAATCAGTGAAATCCCAAGTGTGTGACAAGAGTGATGAGCGGACGACTGTATGAGTGTGTATACATGTGTGTGTTTGTGTGAGTGTGTTTGAGAGTGTGTGTGCGTGCGTGTGTGTGAGTGCGTGCGTACGTGTGAGTGTGTGTAAGTGCGTGTGTATGTGTGCGTGTGCGTGAGTGCGTGAGTGAGCGAGTGTGTGTGTGTGTGTGTGTGTGCGCGCATGTGTGTGCGTGTGAGGTCAGGTGGTCAGTCATTTGCGCTCCAGCTCTTTACTCTGTTTCAGCTCCTTAATCCTGCAAACACACACAATTATAATATATACAGTATCTCACAAAACTGAGTACACCCCTCACTTTTCAGCAACCATTTTATTATATGTTGTCAAGGGACAATACTATAGAAATGAAACTTGGATATACAGTGGTGTGAAAAAGTGTTGGCCCCCTTCCTGATTTCTTATTTTTTTGCATGTTTGTCACACTTTAATGACTAGTAAAAGGTAACACAAGTGAACACAACATGCAGTTTTTAAATGAAGGTTTTTATTATTAAGGGAAAACAAAATCCAAAACTACATGGCCCTGTGTGAAGAAGTGTTTGCCCCCCTGTTAAAACTGTGG